TTATGAGGCCAGTGCAAGGAAGAGTTTGATATTTGTGATATGCTCTGTCAGCATCCTGGTAATGAGGTCAGCTCAGATATTGCTTGTTTGAGGGAACATCTTCTTGTTTGCATAAGGGTTTATGTTGGTACTGTGTTGTCAGAAAGGTTATCATGACATCGTATTTCTATGTAGAAGCTCTTTTGGTTTTTGTTGAGCATGAATATTTATTTCTCTTAGTGAAGGTTGTCTTGAGTGTCTCTGATCTACCCTTGCAGTGTGTTTCTTTACTGTTGTGTTTAATTGTTGGTTCTCAAGTAATTCATGCAAGTATTCCTAGGCTGTTATGATATTGAAAGAACCTATGAATATTATCCAGAACCAAGGTTATGTGAGCTCATCATATGGAGTTTGTGTTCACCAACAAATTCAGAACAAAATTATCTAGTTCTGGTGGAGTTTGGAGTAGAGTTTTGGCTAAGTCTGGTGGTGATGATGGCCTTGACAGTGCTGAAAGGAAGGTTATATTGTAGTTTATGATGATATTCCTGATGTTGAGGAGAATCATGATTTCTCTGACATTTCTTGATGATGCTATGGTATGAGGCATGAGAATGATCTCTACTTGTCTTTATAATTTTTGGTGGTTATGGGATGCCATGTTCTGAGAACTTTCTAGTTGTTGGTGCTTAAGAGAAGATGTACTTCTTCTGATGTGGTTTGGGTACATGATGTTAAACCAAATATGTATGACTTCTTGCATGCCTGAAGTGTTTTTTTGAAACTCTGGTTTCTCTTATGTGTTTTTGAGGCTTTTCCTTCTTATGTTATGCATGTGCCTATGATATATGAACTGGGACAGTTCATGATTGGATGGGTATGTCCTTGAGGACAATGATGTTTATAATCTGGGAGAATTTATTTTTCTCTGCAGTAGGTTGTGGTCATCAGGGGGAAATATGTTCCTGTCTAATGTGTAGCTGCAAGGTTGCAGTTTGTACAAAGCTTACATATTCTCATGTAGCTTGTGTTGTTCCGGTAGCTCTGTGATGTTGAACTAAATATCTTGACATTGTGCTTAGCTATTCAGTTGCCCTTTGCTGAGTTCATAAGATATGTAATCCAGAGGGAGTTGGATTTTGTTATCATTGTGTCGTGTTCTTGTTTGGATTCTGAGTTAATTCCTCTGTGTGTGTGCTCTTGATTTGGTCTAAGGGTGTCTCTTCATTGAGATACAACCCTGTCTTTTGGATCAGAAGGAATATAAGTTGTGTTTGTCTATGTTTTCTGAGGGAGTTATTGCTCAAAAGTGAGTTGGAGGCTAATAGTTTACTATGTCAATCAGGATATTATGAAATTGTATTGTGACAAGTTGGTCACAATCAGAAGCTTCAAAGATTCTCCTTGTACAATTGGGCAACATCATTGTAACTGGTCATCACATTGTCAGCAGTGTTTTGGGAGTTTGTATTAATGAAGAGTTATAACATTTATAGTTTAGGAGACATGAAACACATTTCTTTTGTTTTCTTGATGCATGTGTTTCTCAAGAAAAATGGTTTTTCAATGACATGGAAAATGTCATTTAAAATACTGCAGTCAAAGTTGGGAAAGTGAAAAAGGAGAATGGCTCTGTTACCCATGATAATTTCCTTTTGTTCTACAATCCTTTCTTGACTTTCCATGCATTATAAGCAAGGTTGTCATTCCTTGTTTAAAAAAAAATTACAGCTTCAGCCGTGTACCTAGTCGTGTTTCAACATGAGCCAAAATTCCAAAGTTACTGATGCTACAAAGGCTGGTGTGTTGGATGCCAAGAATGATAAGAGTGTTGCTTCAAAGAAGGTTGAGTCTAAAGTGGGGACATCTGCTGGCTCATCTACTAGAGCATCTAGGACAAGGAAGGAATCTGTGACAATGATGAGACCCTTCAAGAAAAACCATGACTCTGATGATGATGGTGATGAAGATTGAGTTAATTTCATTAATTCAGAAGGTTGGAGTGATTTTCCGGCTCCACAGTTGCAGTTTTTATTTTATGGTTTGTTTTTGTTTGCTTTAATGTTTGTGTTGTAATAATTCCTTGACAATATGTGTTTCCATATGGTGTTTTGTGTTTCCTTCCATTAGTAATGTTTGTAGCCTTTTTCTAGTTTGTGTTTCCAGTTATATTTGTTTATATTTACTCTGTTTGTCAATTTTTGGCTAAAAAGGGGGAGTAAAGTGTTAGGTTGTTTTGTGTCTGTTTTTGATGTTGGATCAGATGACAGGACGTCATGTCATAATTTAGTGTGATTTGTGGTTGCTTGATGTGCTACAACTATTTAGGGGGAGTCGAGCTGCTCATACTACTGCTCATGTTGCTGTCACTGATGGAATGTATGCGGACAATGTTGTGCAACATGTTCTGACATTTTATGGTTATGGAGAACCTTGGATGCTCTATGGTAATTTATTACTCTTATACTCTAAGTAATATGTGTGGCTTCTGCTTCATGTGTTTCTAATATGTTTGGCTTCTACTATATGCATTTCTAATGCATGAACTTAGATAGTTCATGCTTATCTGTCTTGTGCTTTGGGTTTTTCCCTTTGAGAGGGATGTGTAAACTGAGGCAGTTGAGGTTTAGATGTCAGGTGATTTGAGTTTTCCCCTTCAGGGGGAGTATTGGTTATTTGTGACAAGGGGAGAAATGGACCTGTCTGAGGTTGTTGTGTTGAAGCTGTGTTGATGAGATGTCAGACCACATGTCTTGACATTTGATCTCTGGAGATTTTTGGAGTTTGAAGGAGTTGTAAGCTCTAACAATCTGTAGCGATATCTGATATATTTCAGATTGCAAGTTTTATGGTATTATTCATCTTTTCCAGAATTGTTGTGCAAAGGTTGTTTTTAGCCAAAATTTGCCAAAGGGGAAGATTGTAAGTTCTGTGATTTTTGGATTGACTATATTTTGGTAAAACAACATGTTGTTAGCAAGATGTTAAACCAGATGTTCTTCCATGACAGTCAAATACCGTGTTCTGCATGATGTTGTGACATGTTCCAGGACATGTTATACAAAAAAGTTAGGGCATGACTATTTTGGTATTTTATGTGATTTTTTAGTGTGTCTTAATTCACACGTATGCGTTATCCAAGGAGAGATATTGTGGGAACTTTGTTTTGACAGATTGTGGTGGTTTTCTGAAAAAGGATCATTGATCCTTTTTAGGAAACTTTGTATTTTGTTCTTATTTTTGTGTAGGAGATTATGATTATGATTTCAAGCTGATTCCTGATGAATTGCGCCTCGAGAGCCCAAGCCCACGAGGTCTGAATGCTACTTAAAGAAGACATAAACCTAATGAAGATACAAATTTCACTTTTGAAAAATAAAGGGGGGGGGGGGGGTTAGAATCTTAGGTTTTGAGAGTCTTGTTCATGTTATTTGTATGTCACCCTTTGTACCTTTTGATGCATTGTGGTAGACTGATTTTATATTGTTAATTGTCCACTCTAAAGCTTGTAAGCATGAGTGTATTATTCTTGGTTGAAACTTTTAAGCAAAACCAAATATTATAGTTGGAAGAGTATTCTTCTTCTTTTTGGTTTCTCGAGGTATTGTCACTGGCATTGTGACTGATTAGAAAGTGAGAGGGGGATCTCATATCTAGAGGGTTTCTAGGTAGAAGTTGCATAAGGTAGTGATTAGGCGAGAAGTTATAAACGGGGGAGTTTAGAGTTGAACTAATGCTATCATAGTGAATTTCCTTCCTGGCTTGGATGCCCCCAGATTTAGGTGATGTTGCACCGAACTTGGTTACCAATTGACTGTGTTATCTTTATTTCTGCATTTTATTTTTCAGTCTGGTTTATTTGTTCTGTCAGACAGAAGATGTTGTAACATTTGTCTTAATATTATGTTCTGATGTAAGGACATTAGTATTAACATGTGTTAGAGTCCCCCAGAATTTCAGTTTGTATCACTGCCTTTGCTCCACAAGCACACCTTGGTTCGATTTCCCCATGACTTGCACTCAAAATCAAGGAATAATAGTTAGGGCTGCGTGAATTTGAAAAATTTGTACCGTATGAAGCTATTATTGGATAAAGTAGAAGAAGAACTCAGTTGGGTACTAATACATATGTTCTACGGATTTGACGAAGAAGAAAGTGATTTTTCCCAATTACTTAAAGTAATATTCAAATAAATGACATCTCAGCAACATTAAATTCACACAAGCACCGTTAATGAGAGCTGTGCATTTTTGAAACGAAATCATTAAAAAAGATTAATGGTGTAAATGTTATGTAAGTTAAAGGATTAACTTATAGAAGAAGAAAAAACGTAAAGGAGGAACATGTTACAATTAAATATTTTAAAGGAGCTCTGGTGTAATTTTGCCTAAATTATATCAAATATATTATTTATTTTTATTTTTATAATATTAAAAAAATACAATTTGTAATTTGTATATCATAAAATCGATCCGAATTAAACCACTTAAAATTAAATCGGATCGGATCAGATATTTTTAATCCATCATTCAAAACCAAACCAAACCGCAAATAAATTTATCTTTTAAAAAAAATATGTTTGATATACAATTATTTTTATTTAAAAAACTATAAATTAAAAAATAAATAAAAACTATTAATTTTCCTCGCATAAAAAATAATTATTTTGATGTTTAATTAAATCATAAGTTTTTTACCTAATTAGTTGAAAACAAAAAGAAGGCGGAGACGCGAAAAACAGAAAGTTACTGTGACGGCAAGGAGCGGAGGAGGAGCTTCTATTTCTTCTTATTTAGGTAATCCACTCACTAATACATGATTCTTGTGTTCTACGATTAATCCAGTACATGAAACAACTTGCTTTACCCTAAAACCCTATTTCAAATCCCTTTTACATTTTTACATTTATCTCTATCTTTTATTTTAGTTTCAGACCCTTAAAATTACAATGCTTTTGTCCTTTTTCATGGAAATTAAAAACTTATTTAACTCTGAGTTATATTGATGGCAGTGATTCAACATGGATATAGTTATAATCCCGAAGTGTAGTTCCTCTGATTCAGACTCTAACCATGATGATCATGCCAACAAAAATGCAAACTTTGCGCTGGTTCTCTCTCAAGACTTGATGTTTCATATTTTTACTTTGATTCCTCCTAAATGTCTGCTTAGCTCTGTAAGGTATGTTTGCAAACCTTGGGCTGATGCTATTGCCAGCTCCCATTTTGCTGAAGCGTGCCAATGCTCTCATGCACGTTCTAAACCTGGTCTCTACGTTGAAAATCACAAGTCGCACATCAATTCTTATTTCTTGGAATTCAAAGATGATGTGAATGGCCGATTTGAAAGGACTGAGTTGGGGACACCTAAATCAATGGGTTGTGTAGTCGGTTCTTGTGACGGGATATTACTGCTTTCGAGTAGTGATAAACAACTTTTTGTTGTGAACCCCGGCCTCAAGTGGTGGCTAAGAATTCCTCCTTTGCCCGCTTCTAAAGGTTTTAGCCATCGGTGTACTATAGCACGTGTTCCTCGCACGGCCAAATTCAAGTTGTTCTTTGTAGATGTTCATATGTATTTGGGTGCTTTTTGGTATGTTTTCTATGTGCTAAGAGTTGGAATAGACAACTCATGGAAAGAGATAGCTAGAAAACAAGCTCCCCTTCGTTATTATTTATCATGGAAACCACTTTGTAGGGGAGACAATGATTTGTATTGGATGACAATTGAGGGAATTATTGTGATGGATGTTGACAAGGAAATTATTGTACGAGAATATCTGTTTCATGGTCCACCTATAAAATATTTATGGATGGAAAATCACCTTTCTTGTATTATGTCTAATGATTCGTATAGAACATATCGAATCTACAGTTTGGATTTTGATTCAGGAAAATGGTCTCTTTATCATAAGATGGGACCTTTTGATTATATGGCTGCTTGTGGTCGTAATCTTAATACTGAACCAGTGATATTTTCTTTGTGGATCAAAGATCAAATTATCTTTCGAGTAGGTTTATCTAATAATCCAGATAAAATAGAAAACATGTATTTTGGTTACAATGTGAAGACCAAACAATTGTCAAAGATCGAGGACATTGACGCGGGCGATTTTGAAGTATGGCTTCACACTAACAGTCTAGTTTCTTTACGCTAACAGTCTAGATTCTCTTCCAAGTCCTCCAGCATAGCTAAGTTTCATACTATATTTATATTTCTCTTAGGTGAAAAACAAGTATTCATGTTTTGATTTTGATTTGGAAAAACATGTGTGTTTGCTCAGTTACTCTGTCAAGTGTTCGATGGGAACATGTGTTTTTCGTTACTGCAGTTTTGTTTAGTTTGAGTGCTTAATTAAGTGTAGCAAATTAAGGGCTTAAACATGTTTGCTGGGTGTTATTAGATGATGATATACAATTTTTTGATGGTATAATTATTACAAGCATTTCAAGAATCCTATTTACTTTGATTTGTATTTAAGGTCTAAAGAGACTATTATGTCATTCTACAGATGATTGCTGAGCAGAGTTTGTACTAAGAATTAGTTTTGTGTTTGTTTATATGCTCGTTTTAAGGCATTGATTGTGTTTGGTAATTTATCTTGCTAGTTGGAACTGATCAAATCTTTGTTCTTTTGCATTCTCTTAGTTAATTTCAAATTTGGAATTAGTTTTGTCTCTTTTTCTCTAACTTGATGATTTATATTTCAAATTGTGAACAATGTTAGATCTATTTCTTTTCAAATCCCATTATCAGCTATCAAGAAATATCTATTTGGCTTGGCTGTATGCGGATGTCTGTAGTGTAGTGTTGATCTAGTGTCTGCATGACATTTTTAGATAAGAATTACATTATTTTTTCTTAGTAAATATTTTGATTAAATTAAGGGTAATGTTAACTTGTGCACTAGAGGCATAGGTTAAGAAACACATTTATAGTAAGTTTATATTGGAAAACACAATTAAAAAATTAATTTTATATTTTTATTAAAGATAGTGCATAATTTTTAAATTAAAATTTCTTAATTTATGCTCCTAAGACAAAAGTTAGCATTACTCATAAAATATTTATGAGTGAACTTGGTGCCCACTAAGTTTAAGGTTTTTATAGGGGAATTTTGTGAGGTTTCTTTGTGCCATTCTCAAAATTTTACTAGACACCCCTACCTTCTCTATGTTTTTCGAATTTTTGAAAATTTCTTAGTCTTTACTGAAATTTTGAAGAATTTCACATACTTTTACTTTATTTTTGAGAGATCTATGAATTTGTACCAGATTTTTAAAAAATTATTGGATTTAAAGTATTGAATTTTTCAAAATCCTATGTATTTTTACAGGATTCTTCAAATACACGGATTTTTTTCAAAAAAGTATGAGTTTTTATTACCCGATTTTTCAAAAGATCTATAATTTTTTTATTGGATTTTTCAAAATTGTACGAGTTTTTATCATATTTTTTATCGTATTTTTCAAAAAGTCTATGAGCTTTTACCGAATTTTTCAAAAAGTCTATAAGCTTTTACCGAATTTTTTAAAATATGAATTTTTATCGAATTTTTCAAAATGCACTCTCGAATAAAAAAATATGAGTTTTTATAGGATTTTTTAAAATACACTACCAAATTTTTTCAAAAATCTGAGTTTTTATAGGATTTTACAAAATACACTGCTGGATTTTTCAAAAAAACTATGAGTTTTTACCATATTTTTGAAAATATACTACCAAAATTTTCAAAAATATATATTTTTACCGCATTTTTCAAAAAATTGTTAGGTAGATTGACATACTTTTGTCTATCAGAATGAATTGCCAGTTTTTTTTCAAAAAAACATAAAAATTACAAAACATATTAGATTTTAATAAGAAATTGGAGTATTACAAAACATATTGGATTTCTCGTTTGCTCTTTTTAGTTAAATTTTGACAATTTTTTTATCATTATAAAAATATGTGGAAGTGTCAGATTAACCTTAAGATTGGCGGAAAGAAACCTCGAATTTCATTGCCTAAATCCAACTCTTGAATCCTATAGTGCACTTTCCTATCATGGGTACGAACATCTGCAAGAATTTTAAGAATGAGAGGAGGCTTGGGGCACATTCCCCAATTTTTTCTCTTGTATTTTTTAGGGTTAAATATGTTTGTGGTCCTCCTAAATATTTCGATTTTCGGTTTTAGTCCCTCAAAATATTTCATTTAAAGAATGGTCCTCCTATAATTTTTCATCCACACTTTTGGTCCCTCTTGCAAATTAGTGACAGTTTTTATAACTTAGCAACGGTTTTAGCGACGATGTATTACTTAGCGACTGAATTAACGACGATTTTAATGACGGTTTTAGTATTAGGGACCAAAAGTGTGGATGGAAAATTTTAAGAGGACCATTCTTTAAAAAAAAATATTTTGAGGAATTAAAAACAAAATTAAGTTTTAGCAGGACCACAAATATATTTAATCCTATTTTTTATTTAACATTTTCAGACAGTGATATTATGAGGTTATTTGCGTGTATATTGTCTCCTATTTTGTATTGACATTTTTCTTTGGGTATATAAAACATGATCATTAATATATTTTGATGTAGTTTTTTTTTATGTATGTCATTTCTTACCAACCATTTGTGGTTTTGACTTTTTAGATTATCTCTTTGGTAGGAGTTTCCTTTGCCAAGGGATGGTCTTTGTATGCCTCATTTTTCTTTTTTTAAAGTTATTGATTTATTAGTATCAACAACCTGTTTACATTAATATAAAATGAAAAGATACAAATAAGTGTCGATGTCAAGGCTTAAACTCTGGATTTTCCACTCACACCAATTTAGCTCAACTAAGATAATAATAATTTAGCTACCCCACCCACCCCTTTTTCTTGTCTTATAGACTTATATAACGAAGAGAGCTTTCATATGCATGCTTTGTTCGTCCTTTGTAGTCGGAATGGTGCCTCATTCCCGTCCGTCCTTTATGGGAGGGTCGTTTTGCTTATGTGTTCTTTGATTAAAATGGCTTTGTGGCTATGTTTTTTTCTTGCGTGGAAGACAAGGATGTGTGTCAATCCATGTGTTCCTTTTTGGGGTCATGTTTTGGGGTTTTCTCCTCTTATAGAGTCCAATCATCTCAGGCATGTTATTCCTATAAAAACAAATAAAATGAGTTTCATCACATTTCGTTGGAAAATGTTTGTGTTAGTTTATGCTAGAAATGTCGAGAACTATTTCTCGACCTTCTAGAGAGGTGTACTTTCAGAGGCTTTCATTATGAAGGGACGATTCTTTCTCATGTTTGACAAACATTTTTACTTTAACGTCCCATAGTGGCTTAATGAGTCGCATAAGTTTTTATTCAACCTTGTCCAAACATATATTAGCGTACATGATGTCATAAGAACTGTCTTGGTCGATTAATATTATATTTTTTACCTGTAAGGGTATGAGTTTTTAATGAGGTGCCTTATTTACTAAGATTACACTTTTTCAAGTATATAAAAATTTAGCGTGTAACATTCCAATTTTTGAGTTATTATTTTACTTGATTTATTTAGATTTTAATTTAATTAGTATGTGTGTTAATTGAATTAAATTGGATGATGAGTGTGTGTAACCTCGAGATAAGGGTGTAGGAATAATTAAAAATCGATAGAAGTGAGCTAGAATTATTAAGAATTATTTTAGTAATTAAAAAATAATATTTTATTTTAATTTAATGAATTAAATGAAAAATAGAGAGTTTGTGGCTGAATTAAGAATTATAAAAAATAGAGGGGAGGAAGGAATGAGAATGTTCGTAAGTGAGAGGTGAGTTTATAATTTTATTTAGATTACCCTAATTATACAAATTAAGAGATAACCTAGTTTTAGGGAGTTTTGTATCATACGTAAAAACATAATTTAGGAATAGAGAGGAAGCTAGAGAAGGTGCAAGAGCAAAGCTAGGAACTTGGAGGAATTTAGAGAATTAAATTCAAAATTTTGTGCATTGCTGTTAGGATAATCAGGTAAGAGGGAGAACTATCTCAATAATCGATATATGCATGAGGGGTAGAATTGAGGAGTCCTTAACCTCCAATAAGGCATTGAGTTTTTACATAATTATGTTATTCATAGTTGATTTGTTGTGTGTGATGATGATTTGGTGATAAAATTTCTAACACCCTAAACCCTACATACAATTTTGATTCATAATTTAATAAAATTGCAACCACAAAGGGTGTCGCTCACATCAAATATATCTTGCTCCATAACACGAATTATAAATTTCACATAAACACCTGTCATCACATGCTCAACTTCACTTAGGGTATCATCGCAACGAAATCATAATTAAAGCAATTAAATCTCATAACGCACTCATACCATTTAGTCTCAAATTCAACTTTCAAAAAAAAAATAAAGAGTTTGAATAAATCAGCTCAACTGCCCCTTCATGTTGGCCTTCTTTAAACTAAAAATGTTGGATTGTTTCAACATTCTAGATCTAGGTGGCTTAAGGAAGGTGATTATAATTCTAGATTTTTCCATGCTTTTGTGAAAAGTAGGAGCAGAAGGAATGCTATGTTAACTCTTTATGTTGGCAAGGTTTATATAAAGGGGTCTCTGATATTAGGCAAGAGGCGGTGAATTTTTTCTCGAAATATTTAGAGAACCCGACTTTGACAGCCCTCGTCTGGATGGAGTTGCCTTCCGCACTCTTTCAGATAGTGATAGCATCTCCTTATCGATTCCTTTTAGCTATATATGGCTTGATTGGATGTTTCTAAGTGTGAGGGTGATAAAAGTCTAGGTTTCGATGGTTTTAACTTCTCATTTTTTAAAAGATTCTGGAACCTTCTTAATGTTGACCTAGGGGTCACGTTTGACCAATTCCACTGGTTTACATCCCTACCTCATAGTTTTTCTTCTTACTTTGTAACTTTGATCCCCAAGGTTAAATCCTTTTCTCATCTTGGTGAGATTTGTCCCATTTCCCGAGTTAGATCTTTATATAAGTTGGTGACCAAAGTGTCGGCCGTTAGACTTGGGGTGGTTATGGAGAAACTCATATCACCTAATTAATTAGATTTCCTTAAATGGAAATTGTTGGTAGATGGATTGGTGGCTATCAATGAGGTAGTGGACTAGCTAAAAAAATTAAAAAACCTTGTCTTGTCCTTAAGGTGGAT